TCAACCGTAACTGGGAATAATTCCAGTGGGCTCTCTAACGTTATTTGAAAATGTAAAGCACAAGGCGTTGTCTGTCTGCACAGGACCTCGCGGTCTATATTTTCTTTAATGAGGAGGACTCCTCTTTCTCTATTCAGCTCGATGTACTGAACGCTGTCTCCGGTATAGAGACGAGCTTTACCTGACCTAAGACGTTTGACATCTAAACCTAAATCTTGGGCTATATTGCCCACCAAAGATCCTTTCGCCATTTCTTCTGGAACTGAATAGCTAACCTGCCCGACCACATAACTGAGGCAGAAAATGGAGATTATCAGTACTTGCCGTTCCATTGTTCTGTCCGACACCGCTGTCACACCACGGCTATGTTGTTTTATTCCGTTTAACGATTAAAATTCCACCAAAATGAATAGAAAAGATAAAAAGGAATCTGTTTTAATCCACCCGTTACAGTAGGAATCCGTTTTAAGGTGCCCGTGAATTTGATCTGATTCCTAAACTGTGTGTCCTACGTCTGAGTATGCTTCGTAATATGCCGGGATGCTGACTGGATGGATGTGTTATTAAAGAGAGTCAATAACTTGACACATTGTGCAACAGCGGCGCGATGAGTTCACAAGGTGAAAGTACACGAGGCAAACAGTAGAAGAAGAAGGACAAAAAAGAAGCAGAAAAAAGCAAGCGCATGTCTATAATGAAAATGAGGAGGATGACAGAAAAACCAAACGGCGTTTTCTCATCTTAAGCAACACTGGAATGAACGTAACAATGGAAATTCATTCACACAGAATGAAAACGAGAGATTGTTGAAAAAAAAAAGAAGAATTTACTCCAGGCATACAAATATATACAAGAGGCGTATAAAAAGGACTAACAATGTAGAACTGTGCCCTATTTGTCACTGTCCAAGGTGCTGAATCGCTGTCGGACTCGCGTTTATTTTTCACAGAATAGTACCTCACGCATACACGCAGATTAAAAAATATATATTAAACCCAAAAGACAGACCTCTATAGCAGAGTCTGGTTCATCCAGAAACACAAGTCTGGTGCAGACATCTTGATACATGCTCAATCATCCAGGTAAGCAAATCCTCAAAAGTTAATTCTGTTCATCTGGACATAACGTTTCGTCACTCATCAGTCTCAGCTGACTGCAGATTTCCCCAATCTTATAAGCAGTACATTTGCATAATGACTGAAACTAGCACCACTGAAGGAACAATGGGCTGGGAGGTTCGTTCCTAGGAACTGAAGAAGTCACTTGGATGAGCGACAAAACCTTTCTCCCACTGAAACGCTACGTCAAGATGAACAGAATCACCAATCAGGTTCAGACAGAAAAAAAGTTAACACCTCAAAGTTGGCCAAATCATTTTTAACTAACCTCCAGAGGAGAGTCAGAAGAATCTCACAAAAGTTGAAAACCATCCCCAAATAATGTTAAATACGTAGCAGTCTTTTTCATAACAAACTAAATGATATACTTATACATGTTACTCTCTAAGGTGCTGAAGAAAAGAAAGATTAACTAAAATAACAAGTTATTGTCCAGGGTGTACCCCGCCTCTCGGTTTATGACAGCTGGGATAAGTTTCAGCACCCCCGCAACCCCGAAAAGGATAAGCGGAAGCGAATAGATGTATGTATGTAGAAAGACGACAAAAGTGTAAATATCCAGAAAGCCACTTAAATTTAAATGGTGTGTATAACATTTTATATAAAAACTGTCTAAAATAAAAGAAGAATCTCACAAAAGTTGAAAACGATCCTCAGATAATATTAAATACGTAGCAGTTTTTTTCATATCAAGCTATATTATGTGGTTACATGTTGCTCTCCAAGGTGCTGAAAAAAAGAAAGACTAACTAAAATAACAAGTTATAAAGATATATTGTGCCATTTGTGATGTAATATTTATTCTAACCTCCAGAGGAGAGTCTGGTTCATCCAGGATGCTCTTTTCACTCTGTATCCGCTGCATCGTTCCTGTAGAACTGGGGTCCATTATCAGCACGTTCTGACT